GCATTGGTTAGTCCAAACGACATAACCAAGAACTCGTAGTGTCCATATCTAGTTCTGAACGCAGTCTTCTCTATATCCTGCTCTCTTACTTTCAGCTGATGATATCCTGACCTTAGATCGATCTTCGAGAAATAGCTCGAACCTTGTAGTTGATCAAATAGGTCATCAATCCTCGGCAACGGATATCTATTCTTTATTGTTGCCTTGTTTAGCTCTCTGTAATCGATGCACATTCTCATACTTCCATCTTTCTTCTTCACGAATAACACCGGAGCTCCCCAGGGTGATGAACTAGGTCTAATGAAACCTTTGTCCAACAACTCCTGAAGTTGCATCATCAGCTCCTTCATCTCCGTCGGTGCTAATCGATAAGGTGCTTTTGCTATTGGCGTGGTTCCTGGTAACAAGTCTATTCTGAACTCCACTTGTCTATCAGGTGGTAATCCAGGAAGATCTTCGGGAAATACCTCCGGATAATCACACACCATAGGAATACTCTGCATCACCTTCTTCTCCTTCTTAGCATCAATCACGAATGCTAAATATGATGTACATCCCTTGGTCAAACACTTTCTGGATTTCATTAGGGAAATGATTCCAGAATTCACTCGGCGTTTGTCCCCATACACCATAAACGAATCTTTTCCAGGCGGGTTTACCTTCACTATCTTCTTCTTGCACAATATCTCGGCATCATTGGCACTAAGCCAATCCATTCCCAACACGATGTCGAAACCATTAAGTTCGATAGGCAATAATTCCTCGTGGAACTTATTCCCATTAAGGTCGATCAAGATGTTTTTCATACGATAGCTAACAGGTACAAACTTGCCACTAGCAACTTCGACTAATAAAGTATTATCTAGTCTATCAACAGACAAGGCTAGTTTTCTACCAAATTCATGCGATATAAAGGAGTATTTGGCTCCAGAATCAAATAAAATTTGGGCAGGCAAATTATTAACGAGAAAGGTACCTGAAGCGACATCAGCTTCATCTTTAGCAGCTTCCAGTGTCATCTGGAATGCTCTCGCCTTTGGCTTTGGCGGAATGTTGGGTCTAGCTGCCTCCCTCTTCTTCGGGCAGTCCCTCAACATGTGTCCCTCCTCACCACAACCATAACAAACTTTCTTAGTGAGGGTACATTCATTGGCATAGTGAATTCATTGGCATAGTGACCTGGCTTTTCCACACTTGTAGCATGTGGTCACCACCTCACACTTTCCATGATGCTTCTTCTTACATTTGTCGCACCATTTCGCTTCGCCCCCACTTCCCCTCGAACCAGACTTCCAAAACTTGTTTTTCTTATTGGACCCTGAAGTTCCATCGAACTTCCTCTTTTCACCAACTTCTATCCTTTCCAGACCCTTTTCCTTCTGCTGGGCTTCCACATTCTTAGCTGCACGTACAGCCGTTTTCAGAGTAGTTGCCATCTTGACTGTCGGGCCAAAGTCGCCAGGCAGTCCATTAGCAAACCTCTCAATTTTGGAGAGTTCCGTTGGCACTAGGTACGGAAATAATTTCATTTTCTCAGTGAATGCCATAGCATAGTTGTCTATGCTCATCCTCCCCTTCTTTAAGTTTTGGAACTCATTGTTCAGATCAATCAGATCTATCTCTGAACAATATTACACCCTTAGTTGTTCCAAGAACTCTTCCCATGACATTTTCAGGGCTTTCCCTTGTGGCATAGTATCTGCCAACAACTTCCACCAACTTAATACTCCAGTCTTCAGTTGTCTGACTGCAAAGATAGTCTTCTGTTTGTTGCTACAATCGCAACTTTCAAATACCATCTCCATTTCGGAGATCCAATCCATTATTTCAATAGGCTTTGGGCTCCCAGAAAGATTTGGAGGCTTGGCGCCCAAGAAACTCTTGTACATTCGCCCATCGTTGTTGTTTCTCCTATCCGGATTGTTCCTTCATTCTTCTTGAGTCCCAACTTGACTCAAAATGCGACTATTGTTCCCTTCCTCCGATTGCTCGGGAATCAATTCAGGTTCCTCAATAGGTAAGATAGGTTCGTCCCTATTATTATGCAACATTTTTCGCATCTCCTCCCTTTGTTCGGCCAACATAACCCGAATCATGGCTTGCACTCCAGCCATGGTGATCTGTTCTGGTGCTGCTGCTACAACAGGTATTTGCTCAATAACTGGCGGTTGATTCCTGTTTTCATCCGCGTTTCCAACGCCACTCCTTGTTCTCACCATTTTTGATCTACACACCGAATAATTTCACCATATTACTCCAAACGATTACATGCTAGTTCTAATATCGTATACATACGCTTAGAATCCTAAACACATAAACCTTCAGATCCGGTTGGCAACAAACTGTAGATCCGAACAAATAATATCATATATGGCAACATATAACATTTAGCACATAAAAGCATTTTAGGCAACATTCCTAAAATAAACTAAAATAAACTAGTGCTTGTGTCTAAAATCCAACAGACACACCTCTCAAATTCCACTTAGCATTCTAAGTTTAAGTTTAGAAATCCTATAAATTCCTAGTTCGCTTAAACTAATGCTCTGATACCAACTGTGACATCCCTAAAATCACGACCAGAAAAGACCGATTTTCATTCATGCTTTTAAAATAAATTCAGAGTAAATCCTTTTGATTTGAAAGACTTGCGGAATTTGTTCCCAAAACAAAACATGATAAAATAATATTTATCAAAGCATTTCATCAAGAGATGCATTTTCATTATATAATTAAAACTCGGGGTGTCATGTTCCGATACAGACCATTAAGCATAAACAATAACATTACAAGTCATTCAACAAATATATACATATACAGACTTGTAAACAAAACAACTTGATGGTTCGTCCATCTTACGCCCTTGCGCCACTTCCTGTAATACAAATAAAACTGAGTGGGTCAGGCTTGGGAGCCTGGTGAGCATATAGGGTTTTCAACCCACAATAAATAAATTATATTTAATTTCACCAACCAATCACTATCCCGATTACCCATTCCCGTTATCCTCACTTTACGTCCCTAAAACAACATCTATCTCAAGGGACCTAATCTAGGATTTTCATCGGGACGGACATTACAGCCAAGGGGTTTCCTCAACAATAGATATCCTAAGGCAACCATGAGGGGGATAGAGTACACCGGTGAACACATCGTTCACAACACGTACAGGTTATGAACCTGCTAGCGTTCCACGGGGACTGTCTAGAAGGAATCTGTGGTCGTTATCCATACTCCGCTGAATAACTAGGTCAACAACAACAACAACATCGAGGCCTCTCATCTGTTTATTACACACCAACTATCTACCCATGTTCTACCCAACATATTAGTAGATAAAAATATACATTTTTATACATAGTTTAAAACCTGTATATCATTTTCATTCAATATATATTCCACATAACAGATGAGGCATACCCACATAACACGTATTTCATAGAAAACAAATCGGATCTATGAGATTAAAGAGAGTGAATATACATTCACGTACATAACAACAAAACTATACACATAACATGTATTTCGTATAAAATACTTCATAATTATGCGTTAGAAGAAAGTAACTACACACTCACTTGATCAGAAGATGATCGTAATCCTCAGTAGATCTGGAAGATCTCTACGAAAATCGAACTTCTCGCGGGCAGAGCTTCGGCTCAGAAACCGCACTTCTCGGGATCTTCGGGATCTCGGGACTTGCTTCGGGACTCGGGAATGATACTGGGGCTTTGGGGTGGCTTCAGGGGTAAAAACGCAGAGCTTCGGCACAAAGAGGAGAAGAAATGAGCAAGAATACTCGGACCCCTCGCATCCTATTTATAGGAGGCTGATGCCTCGGAGTACGCGGGGCGTACGGGCTCCGAAATGCGTCACTGCATGCGTCATCCGAAGTGTCGACACTCTGGCTGTACACGGGGCGTACTCGAGTACGCTGGGCGTACTCCGGATGAGTCCGGTGACTCGTCTTCGGATAAGGCTGATATTTAATAATTAAATTTAATTATAAATTATTTAATAAACTTCGAAAATTCATATCTCCTTCATACGAACTCCGTTTTCGACGTTCTTTATATCCACGCGAAGGTGAGACTACGCTCTTCAACTTTCGTTTAGACTCCGTTGGCTAATTTTGACTTTATTTTTATTATTTATTTTTAATAGGTCGTGACAGAAAATTTCATTATAACTTCATAACTTCTTCATTTGACGTCCGTTCTCACCTAACTTTTTATCGCTTTGATACTAACAACGAGATCTTCGATCCTCGTTTAGATCACTAAGGCTAAATATCACTCTAACGTAAATTTCACTTTTTACGTTAATCAGCGTTGCCGGTTTTGTCGCGAAACTTCGACAGGTCATAACTTCCTCGTTATAACTCGGATTTCGGCATTCTTTATATCTTCGGAAACCTTGTTTCAACTACTACAACATTATCTAAAGATATCAAGTTTATTTTACACTTAAATTTTGACGCTTATTTTTATTCTTAATTAATCAAACCACATAATTAAGCAATTAAGCACAAAACACATAATACTCAAATAATACACTTATATTATTTCAAAACAGGTTACAAAGGTTAACCTAGGCTATCACATTGCTAAAAATGGCAAGCCCAGAAACGCATGCGTTACACCTGTGGATTCTCTTTTTATGCACATGTTTTGTCGATTTTGATTTATAGAAATCAAGTCCAGACGACATCTAATCTCTATTTTTAGTTTTGTTTTTCTATTCTTTTCATCAATTGTCGATATATTCTAGATCTATGGAAGAGAGAAGAGGCGACAATGGTGGTGAATTAAACGGTGGTGGTTAATGTAATTTTTCATCGAAAAACGGTGGTGGTGAATTAAACGTTTTCATAGTCAGATTTTGAAGAACAAGAACTCTCACATGAGGAAGATGACTCATTGCAAACCATCATCATCTTGGAAGCTTTCTTATTCGTCTTCTCTTCTTTCTTCATCCTCTTCGACACATTGCAATCAGATTTATGTTCTTCCCTTTCGACCCTTTCTGCTCTGTAATGAATTCAGCAATGCCTTAACCTCTATTGGAAGATTATCAAGTTCTATTAAACATTGGTAGATCTTGAATATTGTTTCGGTGGGGATTGAAGTGTCGATCTTATGAGAACCATCATGGGGATCTGTCACCACCACAAATGGGGCGTTGTCGGTTATCCAAACAGGAGCATCATCATCTTCTTCGGAAGCCATAACTGTGACTTTTCCAGAGTTTTTTTCTAAAGAAGATAATATGGTCTCATTCTGTGAAATATATCAGCTAGCAATCAGTGAAGGGGATTTTAAGAACACGAAACCCCCTAAAATTTTGACATAAGAGATTGAAAAATATAGACAGAAATGATTAGAGTACATACAAAAACAACGTCGAGCAGCTTAGGTTTATCTCTACCGGAGTCACACATCTGGGCCACTGTTGGAGCCGGAGAAGAAAGCGGAAGAGTCGGATAAGATAACATCGGAGCAGGTGAATATGAAAGACGATAAGGGATTTGATTGAATTTAAGCTCTAAAGAAATCGTTACATTAGGTGTTACACATGGCAATTGAGTTGGCATCTAAACCTGCTGATTAGGATGGGTGTCACCAGATGACCCCTTCAAATTTTCCAAAAGGATCTTTTAAAACCTAAAAATACAAGTTCGTTCCCTTCAAATGCAAAAAAAAAAAAAAAAAAAAAAAAAGTCACGAAGGACCATTTAAACCAATATACTAAAGTTTGTTGGGTTACAGTGACAATAACACTATTTTTATAGCCACTAAAACATGCACTACTCTTAGTAGTTGTGTTCTAATTTTGATGGTGTACTCATTCCTTCGGAGAAGAGGATTTGTGTGGATTATTTTAATCTTTCGATTGAACAAAACGCACAACTAACCGCCTCTTAGTTTGACCAAAATAAAGGTTAAGGAATTGATATAGGTTACCTTCATTGTAGTTACCATTTTTCCCATACATGAAACCACCATTTTGGTTCATTCCTATAATCTTAACGTTGTTTTAAAAACTAATATTATAGCCTTTGTTTCTGCCATCATTTCCAATAATATTGTTCTAGTTGTATGGAAATGAAGTAGAACTGTAATATATATATTATAACATAATATCCATATATTTATAATGAGGATATGGAATATTGTGATGTTATTTGTCTTGGGAAGAATCAATTAATGAGAGATTCATTGTAATGGACCATACTTGCAAATTATTCAATTTCTCACTAGGTTTGCAAAATGTAAAACGATGAAACGTAGTTATTATTAGATTAGTCATCGATCATAGACTATTTTGTTACTTCTTGCAACAAATAGAATGGGTATCAACAATTAGGCTATTAATGTCCTTACACGATGTGAATCTATTTTCATACTCCTACTAATATACTTCCTCCTCTACCTAAATCATTATGCCTTGAAGTGCAAAGTGGGGAGACAAGTTATATTATGAAAATCAGAGACCATAAGAGGATTCGTAGCTAAAGAACATGATTGGAGTATCGTTTTGAAATTCAAAGCTTGGAAACATCGTTTAATAACTTAGGCAACTAACTAATCTAGTCTAGTGGCTTAATTTCATACTACAAAGCAACTATATCCTAACATACAAATGATACATAATGGAGTATACAATATAGTGAAAATAACTCACCTAGACAATTTCTTAGATGGTTAACATCTATCCGAGTAATCCAATTAGGGAGCAATGCACCTTAACAACTATAAATCTATATTACTATAGCTTATTATTCCTTATGGGAATCTAGTAATGAAATGCTAGATATTTCACTAATCCTAATGAATACTGAGAGTTCTATGAAATAAGGATCTGTCAGGCCTAATAGTTGGAAGGCATTACCATTTCGGCATATAGTCTTTCTGAAATCCAACAACCAAGCCAACATGACCATTCTAGACACCTTTCCCGTAAGTAGATCAATCAGTATTATAACTGGAACTATTAATAAATCTTATTTATACATTCATAACGACTATGAATATAAATATAAGTTACACTTAAAGCGTAGTAAGCGAAGCTTACCTTACAGGAAATTCTAGTGAAAACTAGAAAAGTCGAAAGGCATAATCCCGACCCGAAATATCCTTTTTTCAGGCTCCTAGATACCCTAGAGCCTCGCTAATTTTCTCTAAAACTCAAAAATATAGGACTCGGCATGTGAATGGTCTCCATATAGTTTTTGGAATGAAGAAGGGGTGAGAAACAAGTAAAAACTGGAGATATCTATTTATAGTAAGGAGGCACGCCGCCCCATCTCTAGGCGCGGCATGCCCTGGGTTAGGTGGGTGGATGGTCCAGGGTAGTGCAATGTTTCACCTGATGGGTAGTCCGTGTCGCCAACTTCTAGAAGGCAGCGTCGTGCCACTGTGCGTATGGATTTTTGATTTTTCAAAAATTCATATCTTTTCATACGAGCTCCATTTTTTATGTTCTTTGTATCCACATCTAGCTATCGACGAGTACTATAATATTCATTTAGACTCCGTTGGGTAGTTCTGAATTTATGCTTAATTCTATATTCTTAAAGGACTTAGACTATTAAAACCCGTATAAAAATCATAACTCTTTCATACGTCATTTGTTCTCAACTGTCTTTATATCGTCATAATTGTATCTATGAGATCTTTAACTCTCGTTTAGATTGTTTTGGCTAATAGTTAACCTATTTCTATTTTGATTTCTGTGGCACACACTGTTGCACTGAAATTTCTAAAAATCATAAATTTCTCATACGAATTCAGATTTAGACATTCTCTATAAGCGCACTCTTGTTTTTACAGCTACTAAGACTTTCGTTTAGATTACTTAGGTTAATGAGCAATGTATTTATGATTCATATTTTACGACACACTTTATCGTATAGGGTTGAACGCAAAACTTTGAAGAATCATAACTTATTCATTTGAAGTCAAATTCAAGTATTCTATATATTTACGGAAATCATAGTGACGTTTTTTTACATGTTTATGATGATTATTTTGGCTTAAAAGTAATATATTTATACTTCGTATTCCATAATAATCATTTAATCTTACAATCTACGAATATAGTAAAAATGGGGTGTTACAAATTTCTTTTGCTAGCAATGATAAAGACCAATACCCTTTCCTTCTGCTTAGTTGTTGATGAACCCTTAATCCTATAGTTTGAATTGTTAGTTAAATTTATAAAGTTTTATTATGTGTTATGATTGTTTGATCGCATTACCTTAGGTATTAAAGTTTCAATTTTTACTGCCTACAACTGAGTTTTATATTGTCTAAAGGATCAATGTGGTTACATTAACTTGAATTGTAATTACTTTATAACAATAAACTGATAGGACCAGAGATAGACTAAATTATGGGGTTAGGTGATTTAATCATGAACTGGTTTTGTAAGCGAGCATTAGATTACCACTCTTTGCTTATATTAAGGGGTTGCTCGGCAAAATTAGCCGGTAGTGGGTGACGGGTAGCATGTAGCTTGTAGCGTTTTGTTAAATGCTACATGAAGTAACATTTGAATTTGGAGCATTTTGTTTAAACAAAACGCTAAAAGCTTGTAATGTCAAACAATGTTTTTTGTTCAAAACGAAGCGTTTTGTCGAACGCTAGAAGCTAGAAGCTCTCAAAGGCTTCTAAAAGTTTTGTGCCAAACACACCATAATTGTCATGTCTTTCATAATTCGAATATGAATTGATTATTTAGTTAGATAATTGCATGATCATTGTGTTGATTACTTTACTATGTGTAAAACACATGTATTACATGAGTTTATTTATAAAAAAATATGAAGTTTTAACAATTTGAAAAGTTTAAATTTAGAAAAAAAAATGAAAAAAAAAATTTGAATTATTAAAATTAACGAGACTTTAATGTATTGAATTCATTACATATATAAACATTTTCTAATAAATACATTACATATATATATTACCATACATATAAAATGTGGAATTTTAATTTAATAAAATGAAAAATACAAAAAAATAACAAGTAAAAAATAAAAAAAAATTCAAAAATTCTATAAAATGTCATGTGTCCAAATGAAGAACAAAAGAACATGTGGCAAAAAGTTCTTTATTTATTAGGAATGATAATTATCATTATTAGTTCACTAGACCAAGATAACTAATCATTATAAGAATCGGTAATTAATGATATTTTGGTAATTTTAGTTCATCATACTAAACATACTCATCGTATTAAGAACTTATGCATATTTTAACTTTATGTATTAAGATGAGTTGAATGGTCAAATCCTTACAAAACCTCCATTATCAAACATTTGGAATAAGAAAAATATGGATATAGATGTTCAATCGAGACATTTCCTTTTATGTATGTTTTAACTGCTCACTAATACAATAAAATAGGGAATAATGTTGATTATTAGGGTCATCTAACATTTTTGGCTACTAAAGTTTACTTGAGTAGCGAAGAGAATTCTACACTATGCATATATGTTTTATAATGTCAAATTGATCACTACGAATGGTGAATGTGAATATAGGTTGTATCCCTTAAGGAAAAACGAGGTTAAATCAGACTGATAGTCTTAGGATTGAGTTGCATGTTAGCTCAAAGTGTTAGCTTGGCCGAAGGTGTGACCATTTTGATATCCTGCTCAAAATCATTTTATTTTCAATCATCGTAAAATTAAAGTTTGTGATCATCATCCTTTGAGATATAAGTAATGGAATAAGTACATATGGTACCAATGATTTCATGTCTATGATTTTAAAATTAACTTTACACAAATCTAAAAAAGGACTTCTTGTATTTTTTCGTAAATAGAGGTAACCATTTCGTTTGGACTGCCTTGCTAAAAGTTTGTGATACATTGGTATAATAATGTTAAATTATTTATATGAAAAATGGTATACGATTCAATCGGTATTCAATTTAAGAGGATAGGTTCATTTGAAAATGAAAAAGAAATTGAGAATCCAAGAAATTTGTGTCATACATTTCTTCATTGTAGCAATAGCTTTCTAGAGTACCAGAGAGAGAGATAATAATCATATTTGAATATAATAGGTTACGAGTATTGCCTATTATATTTATATATAATTATTTATAAATCATTATGGTCGTTGGTGGGTGAAATAGTGAAATTATAGATAGACTTAGGTCCTGTTTGATAGTTGCTAACTGAGAAAATAGTAACTGAGTAAGAAATTCTGACTGAGTAAGAAATCATGATGTTTGATTGTACATCTGACTGAACATACTGACTAATGCAAAATGATTATTTTACCCTGATGTGCTATTCATTTTTATGCAATATAACAATAAAAATAATAATAATAATAATAATAATAATAATAATAACAAAGACAATAAAGATAATAATAATAATAACAAAGATAATAATAATAAAAATAAAGATAATAATAATAATAATAATAATAATAATAATAATAATAATAACAACAACAACAAAGACAATAAAGATAATAATAATAATAACAAAGACAATAATAATAATAATAATAATAATAATAATAATAATAACCAGCGTTACACATTATATAAAATATTTGAGCAAAAATAACA